AACAACGAATTCATTCACTCCTTCCCCTCGGCAGGCAGGTGTTCAGCCATCTCCAGGAAAGCAGGGCTCCATCATGTGTAACGGTGACTGGGGAAGATAAATGCCATCACTCTGAATGTCCCCCCTTCCTTCTTATTCCCCCGGCTTTATATGCTGAGCATGATGCCATATGGTGTGGGAGATCCCTTTGGTCAGCTGGGGTCAGCTGTCCCGGCTGTGTCCCCTCCCAGCTTCTTGTGCCCCCCCAGCCTGCTGGCTGGTGGGGGGGGGGGAGGAGCAGAGAAGGCCTTGACTCTGTGTCAGCACTGCTCAGCAGTAACAAAAGCATCCCAGTGTTATCAACACTGTTTCCAGCACAAATCCAAAACGCAGCCCCATACTAGGTGCTATGAAGAAAATTAACTCTATCCCAGCCAGAACCAGCACAACAGGCTATAGGTGAATAATAAACTGTTTTAACAAGTAGTTATAGACTTTTGTAAATATTCCACTATTTTGCTGTCTTAATTTTGGGTGATGGGGTATTTTTTTAGTGAGATGTTCAAATTATTAAACTTTAGTGAATTTGGTGGTTTTGTTTTGCTTTGGGTTTTGTTTTATTTTTTTCATTCCAATAAGCAAAGTTGCTATAGACACTTTATTCCTAGTAACTTTGGTAAAGATGTTTCTTTCCTTTGTTTGCTTTTTGTCTTGCTGAGTCAGGAGTTTTGTATATCACAAGTCAGTTCTGTTTCAGGTTTTGTCTCATTCTGGGAAGAAAATGGGCTTCCAAAAAGCAAGGTTTGCTTGAGGTAATAAGAGCCCCAAACTTGTGACTGATCACAACAGTGCAGTTCAAAATGCTCAGGCAAACAGCACTCGTAGCGCAGGAATCAATTCAGAGACTTGGCGCAGAGCAGTTTCTATCCTGCCTCCCTGGTGAGTTCAGCCATTGTGCTTATGACATAAAAACCAATGTGCATTTTAATTGCTATACTTATTTTTGAACTGTTGCTCAAGTACTAGTATGGTTTAAGTCAAAAAGGCTGTATCATGGACAATGCGGTATCGGTTGCCAGAAAAGGTGTAATCGGCGTCTGCTAGTGTTGGTGATGCAAAAAAACTGTATTAGCTACTGCATTGGGCAAGGAACTTAAAGGGATTAACCTCGTAGCAGGTAATCACTAATCACTAAATGGTAGTATTACATTCTATAAATGCTGTGTTGTTTTCTTTTGTGCTTTATTAAATTAAAGCCTTGAGTTTATTGTCATGCACAAATAGTTTATATTTGAATGTTTATTGAATGTTCAACAGCAAAAATGAAACAAAAAGATTCTTTGGGGTAGTCTGGCATAATCAGTGTGGATTGCAAAGATAAATGTGATTAAGGGAAAAGGAAGGAAAGAATTGAAATGTAGCTGTTACTTTAAGCAGAAATATATTCAGAAATGTGAGTGTAGCTAAGTCTGCACAAAGAAACTCCTTGCTTGTAAGAAATCCATGGCAGTGACTTCACCTGGAGGTATTTAATTAATTATTTATCAAGCATTATGTTTGCCTTCCCTTGGGATATGATCCTCCTTGTTGTGTCTCCCTCCTTCCACCAAAAAGTGTCAACTAGTTATTCAAATATAGAATATTTTACTTACTTTAGATCTCAAAAAATGTTAGTATGTAAGTACTTTGTTTCTTTTTATAACTGTATGTGTATAATAGATAGCTCAACATTACTATAGCTTTCCTGGGTTCCCATTTTATTGCCATCCCAATGTACTTGACAGAGAGGGAGGAAAGGAAAAAGAGGAAACATAAATTATCCTACCGATGTAAGATTAGATCAACATTTAAGCTAGTAGGTGTAATACAGATGCTGTGATCAGGTGCTCAGAGCCAAAATACTCACAGTCCTTGTGCTATTCTAATCAAAGGTACTGAAGATTGAGCAGTTCTCTGATGTGGTCTTATCAGTTTGAGTATAATGTAAATCCTGTTAGAGCAGCTTTGTCCGATCTGCCTGTAGCTTTGTTCTGAACCTTTCAGTAACAGTTCACTGAAGCAGAAAGAGCCCTGTGAATTGATATTATAAACCTGCATGGTTGCTTTATTCATTGTTGAAGCAACAGAATATAACAGAAGTATTTATTTTAGTGGATTGAGGATACTTTTTTTTTTAATTCTATCAGCGTAAGCAGGGGAAAAATGTTCTAAATGCAAAAGAGGAAAAGCTAATACTGTAATCATATCCATACCTATTCGGAGCACAATCCCATTGAAAGATAATGCAGAATACTGTATGTTTCATTTATTTTACACATTCAGAGAAACTGTTAAAATCCCAAAGTGTTGTTATTTCTTGCTGATGTAGAAAAAAATATCACGTGACACTTTTATAATCAGGAAATAATAGTCATGTGAAATAAAAGCTTCTCATAATGCACTTAGTCTTCCCAGACATCTGTATTTTTCTAAGCATCACCTACCTGCTCTCATTGGGACTGAGATGAGCCTTAGAAATTCAAGATTGTATTGTATTTTCTTTCTTGCTGGTGGGCATTCCTTACTGAAGTTCAAGAGCATGAAATTTCTCTTTAGTCTCACTGCTTTGATATGGTATTTGCCTAATAAACAAATTAAAGTGTGGAAAAAAAATTATAAAACTGCAATATCTTAAAATTAAGACGCTGAAATATTAAATTCAGTTCCTTGTAATGATGCTGTGGTGCCACGTTGACCCTTATTCTTGAAAATCAGTTTTTATGTTGTGCATCAATAAAAAATATTACAACTTTGGGAATTTGAAAGAGGATGTGTGCTATTTGAACTTTTAAAGTGTCATATAATCTGACAATTCTGGCTTTATACTTTGAAGATTTTCTGGAGAGATTTAACTGACATCTGTGAATTATGCAGATATGGAAGCCCAACTTTATTTGTAGAAGTTTGTATATGCTGTCAACGAGTTCTGCTACTTATGACACGTTTTTTCTCTTTTGTGGGGACAGGAAGATTTACAAAGTTAGTTCCATTACCACTAAAAAGTGCTTCAAATGGAAATCTCTCTAAGATGAGAGTTATTTAAGATAGAATTATTTTTGTACACTGCTTTTAAAATTTCATGTTCAGTTTTTGAAAAAAACTCTGATCAGAAAGTTAGGGTAGTGAATAGCTGATTATTTTTTTTGTTAAATATTTTAAATATCTAAGGAAAAAAGTATACTAAACTCTTACTTTTAATTATGGAAAAAAATTAAGCTTGTCACCTCTTTGTTGAAATTAATAGGTGTAAGAATTACTTTTGTGGAGAAGTAATTTATTTAAATTTCATATTTCATATTTGTCTTTCAACTAATTTTGCATGGTATTCCATGAAAAGACAGACTTTGTTTTGGTTTTATCTGATGACATAAGCAACCACAGATAACCAGAGGTTAATGCATATCTTCAAACTAAAAAAAAAATGTTATCCGATGCACAGTCCTGCATCCAGACCCCCATTGGGGGAATCCTGTTTCTGTTTGGAGTGCCTGAGTGAAGGGTGGAGCTTCTGTAACTCAGAGGGAGAGCAGGATGTGCTACATGCCAGTCCTATCTCAGAACCTGCCCAGTAAAGTAAGGCTGAAAGCTCTGAAAGAACTAAATTGTACTCAAAGAGAGATGGATGTTTCTGTTTAAATGATGAGAATTGTATGTCCTCACTGCTTCTTTATGTGTAGTGTAAGGTGTTTCCACATAGCAGCAGCAATCAGAAAAAGTTTGGGTGGATACAAAACAATGTCTGAGAAGTCCTAGTATGTGACATAAAAGATGTAGCTGCCTTACAGGATGAAAAGTGAAAGGGTGTTTCGCTTTGCTTTCTTTTTTTAAATTTTTTTGGCCAGGTAGAATAGTAAGAAAGGAAAAAATTTTGGTTAATTTCATATATTTAAACAATTTTAGTGTGACAGGAATGCTGCTGATTTTCCATATGTAGCCATTCCTCTCTTTACATATCAAATAGCTGTATGAGCTTTCATGGGATGAGTATTGTTATTAATCCTTGACAAAGGTCCCCAAGGTTTCAGTGAGAGTCTCTGAAACAGTAGGCAGTGCAGATGTAAACCGGGTAACAAACACAGTGAACTGTGAATCTCAGGTGGTTATTAATTGCTTCATTGTCACTTTAAATTCCAGCTAAATAAGTCTGACAGTTGTAAATGCAGTAAAATGTGAAGAGGAATAAATGGACTTAATTTTGCAGAATACTAGCTTTTTGGTATGTACCCACACCACTCATCAATCCAGATGTTTTGTGTATTGACTACAAGACACTCGCATCCTTAGATTATGAAAACGTACTTGTTTGTATTAGCAAGATGAATGTTTAACTGATTTAGTAGTCAGGTCTTCTATCTGTGATCACTGTAAACATTTGCATTGATTAGAAGGAAAAACAGCGCCTCTTTGCAAGGCCAGAAAGTTGAATTGCCTCAAGTTGATTTGTTTGGTTTGTTTCATTTCCATGTTGTTTATTATTATGCTTTTTTCTTCCAAAATAAATTTTAGGCATTTCTGAAAGGATTATGGAAAAATAATGTGTATATATATAGTGTTATGTTTTCATATTTACGTATCTGTCTTCTGAAGTTTGTGGAATTTCTTGCAGATCTGTTCTTGTATTAAATCTTCACTCTGAAACAATTCCTCCCATTTTGTACTCTATAGAGCTGTAATATTTGTCCAAGGATGAGCTGCATTCAACATTTTGTTAACTGAAATGGGAAGTGACAGACTGACTAAAAGAAAATCTCCGTGCCAAAGAAACAGATATTACTACTTTCTCACAGATTACTGTATGCCTGGACACTGAAGACTCTGAGATTGCAGATGCACTAAGGTTTCATATTGATCCATGTTAGACTAATTTGATCAGAAGTGAGACTTCTGTATCATGTTATTTTCTCCTATAGCATTTGATTGAGATAGTCAAACATTGAGAATATTGCGCAGGAAAAGGAGGGACTGGAAAAGAGAGACATTCAAAAAATTAATAGAGATTTATTAGATGTATTTTGTTTGCATTGATTTTCACTATGGATATATATCTCTTGATGGCAGCTGTCTTCAAAATAATAGCATAATAGATAATACTCTGCTACATGATTTTGTATTTTTATTGCTTCTTTTTACTGATATTTGTAGAATAATTTAATCATTGAAGTTGCTCAGTACCTGCATACTCAGCAAAGATCTTTTTCTTTATTGCATTTTGAATATTATTTGGCAAAATGAGAAAGCCATGGTTATCATGCAAGAACGTGAAGTTGAAAAATGTCTGAGGAACTGCAGAGGAGATTCTGCAACATGGGCATGAGAAAGTATAAATTTTATTCTAGTCTTGCAGAAGTAGGTCTCGAGCTACAGGGAATGCTCCATCCAACAGAAGACAGCCTACTGTCTGCTTTTTAGTTCAGGTTTATCAGACTGTGACTTGACAGATCGGAGTCAGTGGTGATTGTGCTGGTTTGAGGAGTCCCTGTCCTTGATGGCTTGCTTCCATGCTACAAAAAAGGGAGGAGGCAGGGGATTACGAAGTACTGGGAAATTATCACAATTTCAGATGTTCCTTTGTTGCATTTGTTTTGGAAGAACTGGGAGCTTGGAAAAGCAACACACGATGGTAATTCAGAGCCTCCTATGCACAGGGAGAAGGGATGTTAGGGTGCTTGTGTCCGACTGCATCTGCTGTTCTCCACGTCCCTCACTGTTTTACTGATTGAGACAAGGAACAATATCACCTAATTGGCATTAATCTCTCCCAACTCTCCCAGTCTTTCTACAAGTTCGAATGAGGTGGCATGCCCTGCTCTCCCTTTCCTTAGTCATAGCAGGGAGCATGCATTTTATATGAAGAGTCACCACTTTAGGGACATACAGTTTGGCTAAATTGAAAGAAGTCCAGTGGGATTTTTCTTGTTGATCTTTACTTGTGTAAAGGAAACAGATGATCTGAAAACTATGTTGTCTAAAAGTTTAATATTAAGAAATGGGAAACCATTAGCTCGCTGTCATTCCCTGGCTAATATCCTAATTTTGTTACTGACCTTAGTATTGGATGTCTTCTGTCCAGTAGAATAAAAATCAGACCAAAAGCATCCATTTTGTCTAAACTGAAAAAAGACTGGTTGTATAGTAACGTGGTATAAGCCTTAGTGAGATGGAAAGGGTAGTTATCACATGGTGTCATCACATTTGCAGAGCAGTTAGTTTTATTTTTGCTTGCAGTTATAGCTCAGGACAGGGAAAATGTTGTATATTGCTTTCTTTTCCTTTTTTTTTGACTCATGAGATAGCATGCTTTGTCAAGAGTGCATTTGTTAGTCTCGCTGTCATATTTATATTAAAGACATAACAGGATCCTACTGCATTATCAATTGCTTTTCATTACCCTTGTCTTTGCTTGCAAAGGTCACCACCTTGCATGTGAATCAAATTTTGAAAAGAGTATTTTCTTTAGAAGTGGAACTGTAGTCTGAATTAAAAGGCAGTGCTGTTTGAGAAAGTTAATATAACATATTCCTGAGCTTCCTTTTAACTCTTACATAAAGTTAATTCAGCACCTTTGTGTGGGCAGATTGTATTCTTCCCTGTCAGAGTTGCAGTTGCTTTTGTTTTGTTTCACATTTGAATAATACATTTGATTACCATGGCAAATGTTGCAGTGTATGCATGCCTGACTGTAGTGCCTAATTAACTGATGATAACAAGGCAGGATTGCCCTCTTCTCTTTCAGAAGCAATCATATACATGACAGTTCTTTTATCTTTCTTCAAAATTGACTTGCTCTCCTGACCCTTAAGCAGCTCCTGTTTCGTGTGTTTACCTCTGATGTCTTTTCAAGACTGTTAATTTTCTGTGGCATATCCTATCTAGTTGTAATTAACACATCGAACAGCAAAGAAATAGTTCTGCTTGCAGATGCCTAATGGAGGAATGCTTTCTTCCAGTAATTATACAGCTTCATTTTACTGATTTGCATTGACCTACAAGGAAATTTTTTTTTAGAACATCTACAGTGGTATAGTCCTATTTAGGTAGGGAAAACAAACTAAAAAATTATGTTAATTTGCTGTAGTTTACCTACACGTATAAAGTAAACTTAGAAGCAGTCGGTGGTAAGTTCAGTAAAGGTTTGCATTTAGCAAAGTTAAACTGGCGGTAAACAGTGCTGTCTTCTTGCATGTATTTAATGCTGAAGTCAAAGGCCTGTTCTTATAATTAGAAACTTCAAGAAGCACTTGACCTATTTTAAGGAAGCATTAAAGCCACATGTATATAAAGCAAATATTTTCCAGCATTGTATCTTAAAAAACCTGAACTTACATTTCAAATAAATGGGACTAGGATTTCTATTTATCATTTTATAGGTAGGCTGAGATTAAAGCCATAATGAGTACAAGTTCAAAGAGAGGAAGGTAAAGATAAAAGGTTGGTAGTTACGGCAATAAAAACAGGGGCAAAAAGAACAGCTTTTCTGAAGGACTCAGGCTGGAATAATAATGATAGAATTGTCTAAATCGATATATCTCTTGTCAGCCTCACGTCTGATGTTTGAATCAGTCAGGCCTTTTCTGCAAGAGCTTTCCTCAGGAATATTGAATTATTTATTATTTGTATCTTTTTTTCCTTCCCTTTCGGATTTTTTTTCTGGGGTTTTTTTTTCCCTGACTTAGTAAAATTTGTTTTTTATGCTGCCAGGTTCAATGTTGTCTGCTGTTTGATAAATAGCAGTAATTGGGTGTATAGCAGAAGTCGTGTAAAAATGTATGACTTCAATTACATCTAGAACAATTTTTTCTTTATATTGATCTTTTTTTCTGTATAAGATCTGCTCTTCATAGCCTCCAGTGCTGAGGTTTTAAAGAATTACTCTATGTCCATATGTTGGCATGCACTTTTGAACCCATGCATCTTTTAAAAAAAAATGGAATGCTGTCTCGAATCAGTTCTGCCTGAGCAGTAAGTGAAAAATTAGAGTCATTCAAATAGTGCGATATTCATATTGTATTCTAGTCAGATGAGGGATTGCATTACTTTAAAATTACAATGCCTACTTACAGTCCCTGTTTCTCTTGTCTGAGATAATGAAATGAGGGTACTGGCCAATTAATGAAAACATCTTTCATTAACAATTATAATCCAGATAAAATGTTTTGAAAGTCACTTCCATGTGGTAAAGCTCTGCTCATTTAAGTCTACAGTTGTACACCATAGTGTTTCGCTTGTAAATATTATCAAAGGCGCTAATGTAATAGAAAGGTACTGTCTGTAATTTCAAATATTATGTCAGAATTCTCATTGTGTTCCAGCTGCGATGTTTTTAAATTTTCTTTCCACTTTATGTCAGTCCATGAGGTGATAAATAATTTGATCCTAATGTTTGATGCTGATTTATGATAAAATGAGTTAGTGTATTTGTCTTGAAATGTCTTCATAGGTCAGAACAAAAGATGGGCTGAATTTCACATGTGGACTGGGATTATGGTTTGCCCTGGTATGGGGTGATGGACTGGTTAGAAGTTTAGGTCTGAATCCAGGCTTTAACAGAGTTCGAGGCTGTCAGCATTGGGTTTTTGCATAGGATGCTGCTGTACTGTTATGTGCGTTGGTTTTCATTGTATGCATTTTTGAGGGAATGCAGTGGAATATTGCCTTGTCCTTATTAAATGTATTTTTTTGTTCATTACATAAGTCTTTGCTTGCTGTGCTTCATGCTTCAAACTCTTCTAAAGTGAGATTCAAAGTAGAGGGTTATATAAACAGTCATATTTATGCCATCCAGCGGTGGATCAAAGGGAATATTCCTCACAATTGTGGTTAATTTATGTCACTTGAAAATGTAATTACCTCATGATTATTGCCTGCTTAATACAGGCCTATTTTGCGTTTTTAAAAAGCAGTCATGCTCTAGGTTGCTAGTGGACAGGAGTGCTAAACAGACTGGCTGTAACCTAAATCCTGCAGTTCTTTCTCTGGTACGTGCCCCATTGTCATTACAGGGAGGGGATAAGCGAGAGCAGGAATTGCAAATTGTGCTTCCATAGTTGTAATAATTCAGTAAATTGGTAGAGATTCTCCTGTTTCTAATGGAGCTAATTCTCAGGGTATGTTTCAGGCTGTTAATATGCGTATCTTTCAGAATGTGGATATTGGCAAAGCAATACCTCCTGTCACTAAAGTGTTTTGTTTAGGAAAACCTAACTTTAAAATAATCCTTTAGAAACAGCTGTATAATGTAATTTATTTGAGGACTGTCAATAAATGCTTGAATTGTTCTGTAGATCATCAGATGAAGCGGGGGTTAAATAGATAAAAGGAAGTTGGTGGTGTTTTTACCCAAAGTCTTGTTTAAGCCTCACTAGTCTTCTGTTTTTTCCTGTAGCGGTTTGACAAAATTGCCTTTCCTACCAGCAGCCTGTTAGGTGCTGTGCACAGAAACAAAACCCTATTGTTTTAGATTTTCTTTCATATCATGTAGGTGTCTATGCCATACCACCCACACAGTAAAGCAAGTGAGCTGTGAAATATATTCATTGTTAGAGTACAGGGGAAATGGAGGCAAGCAATCGGCAGTAATAATGTACGACAGCAAGGGGAGGCTGCCAACATTACCTGCATTATTTCGGTTGCCTTTTTCATTATAGGTTCGGGAAATAGGCAGCAATTCGATTATGGCATGATTTGGGATGGAATTGCTTGCCGTTCACTGACCCTGTCACAAGGGGATCAAATGAGAAGTCAGCTCAAATAAAGTTTACAGTGCATTAACTGGACCAAGCATTGCCTAGCCTGGGAGCATGATTTTTCATCTTCCAGGGTTTTGTAACTGCTTCTCAGATATATTTGTACCTTAAGGCGGGGGGGGAGGAAGGGGGAGAAAAAATTTTAAAAAAGAAGGATTGGCTGAGATGTATAGGAATGAGCTAGTTGGCCAATAGTGTACATTCCCCTCCCCTCCCATGTGCAGATCTCGGCTCCTCTCTAGCTTGTGAGAAGCAGCATGATTAATAACACTGAGGGAACCTGCCTGTTGGATTATTAATTTTCCATCCTTTTTCCCTTCTCTTACGCATACACCTGACGCTTTGCCTTTTTTTAAAAAGGTTTTCTTCTTCTTTTTTTTCCTCTCTTTTTTTTTTTAATTCTTTTCTTTTTTCTTCTTTCTTTTTTCCTTTTTTTTTTTTTTTTTTTTTTTTTTTCCTTTTTTTTTTTTGGCCCCCCCCCCATGGAGTTAACCACTAGCCACTAACGTTCTTGGGGCTATCCAACCCTGCAAGGGCTTACTTCACAGTGGGGTGAGTTTGTATATTAAAATAGGGGGTTCTGCAAGGAAGCAGCAACAACAGCAACAACAACAACAAGAGGAACGAGGGCAAAACAATCCCTGTGATGCTTGATTACAGTACAGTTGCCTTTAGCTACAGCTGCTAAAACTAGAGTTAATGCTGACCTAGAAGGCAAGAAATGTGTTGCAGCGTCTGTCTGTTAGTTCTAGAGAGTA